TAGCTTGCAGTTATGATGGGCATTGCTAACTCGCCAGGGACTTGCCCGGCACTTGCTTTCTCTCTCTATTGTTTGTTATCTTCCTCCTATCATCATCAGTTCCAGTTTGGTTGACAGCTTAGAAAACAAACAGCATGGCAGCTCCCATGGGTTTATTGTCTTATCCTTTCTTTCAGCTTTAGAGTGAATTAGGAAAAGTTTAATCCACTTGCACTGTTTTATGTTTACATGTTTGATGACAAACAGCCTTATGTTTATAAGTGACAGTTTTCCTGCTAAGTATCTGCATGTCATAAGCATTTGAATTAAAATTACCATATTGAAATCAAATCTGATGTTTTTTCAATTTTTATTTGGTGTGCATTGGAAGAGGGGTAGTCTTATACGGCGAGTATATCCCAAACTCTATATTTTAACTGGAAAAGTTGGGGTTCGTCTTATACGCCCAGTTGTCTTATATGCCAGAAAATACGGTATTCTCTCTCTGCTGACTGATCTTCTGCCCAGCCCCAACTCTCAGGTTAGGAGCTGAAGGACAAGAGCTCTTTGGTGCAACTCAGTCAGATGTTACCTAGCTTCTGCATTGTGACAACAAAACAACAAGGATAAGGCACTTCTGTGTTAACTAGGAACTGTTTATTTTCACAGCTGTTGGAAAGATCTGGGGGAGATTTAGACAGTGCGGATAAATTACAGAAATACTGTCCTGTTTCTATTTCTGGCCCAGCTCCTCCTTGCTCTTTGTATACAACAGCAAAATGGCTAGAACCAAAAGAAGTCTGTTGTCTTGTTGACTCAAAGTGCTGGGGGAAAACAACATGACAATGTAATGTTGAACCAGCCTGCAGATTTGCTGCCATGCAGATACATCGTCTTTTATGCCACATGACATTTCCTGAACATGTAAAGTTAAGCTGTAGTCAAAGCGGTCTGAGCAGCTCTTCACAATAGGAAGTAAAAGCAACTTGCCAAAGACCAGAAGTGACACTTAGGATTAAACTGTCAAGCTATTCTGCTTTTCTGCAGAATATAAGAATAGTAAAGAAACAAAAAAGTAATGGGGCAGGAGTAGCTCACTTGTTAGGATGCCAGAGGCTAGAGCAGTGCCAGGTGCACCAAAAGACGCTTGTCGGGGCAAGTGGCTGTTCTGAGTGGCACCCCTGGCCCCAGTGCCACACCCATGTTGCCCTGCTCACTCTACTCACCTTCCCCCCCAAAAAACAAGGGAAGTAAGTAGCATAGGCAGACATGAGATCCACTGCACTGCTCCATCCCATCTGGCTTCACAACAGGCCAGATGGCTTGGGCCACAGCTGCTCACTCAGCCTGCCTTCTGGGAAGGCAGAAAGGGAGGAAGAGCAGGCAGCCACCTGTTCTGCTATATTTCCTCCCTCCAGCTTTGTGGTATCTTGGGGTTTAGTGGCTCACCCAGCCTGCCTTCCCTTCTCCATCTTGTGAAGATGGGTTAGGGTTAGGCAGCCACCAGCTGTGTTGTGCACCCTCCCTCTGGCTTCAGGGCTCACTGTGCAACCTAGCCGTGGTTGGGTCTGCGTGAGCACAGGTGGAAGGAATACCTCTAGCAGCTGGCCTAGGACACCACCAGCCTGTAACTGACAGGCAACTGTTCAGAGTACTAGACCTCCTCTACGGTGAAGGTTTATAGGAGGGCAGCTCTTGCTCATCAGACGCATGACAAGCTTAGCACTTTGGGAGAATAATCTTATGCAGGTCTTCTCAAAGTTCTACTCACTTCTGTCCAATGGTATCTCCTCCCAGGATAGGATTGCACTGCTAAAGTCCTTTGGATGCTAATGGGATGTAATTAGGCATGCACTAGGCTTGCCAATCTTACCTGATAGCAGGCAGACTCCCACCCATGCTGCTCTCCCGCCATGTTTGCTCAATGGAGTAGTGGGGGAAATGGAGGAGGAGCTACCACACTGAGCGACTCTCTAGAAAGTCCCCAGTCTCTGTGGAATTTGCCTTTAGTCTTCATCCAGAAGTGATATCATTGCATTGCACAACTCTCTCCTTCTGCCTGCCCCACACCCAAAATCCCCCCCCCCTATGCCAGGAGCAGGCCTGGCAACCCTAGTATGTGCATAATTCTTCCTCTAAATTAAATCAATTGGTAAATGTTTGACTAGCTAGATTGTGCCCTATATTAGTATTTCACTGTTATTTCCAGATGCAAAAATGTTAAATCTGGGCCACTGGGATGAAAATCAAGCAAATACAGGAATTTAGGATTTCTACAGTTGCTACATATCCTGCATTCAGGCTGCATATAACTTGTACTATAATATAGTTCAGAGACATTCTTTTTTTCAAAAGGCATAAAAATAACATTTCAGGTGTTTTTTTAAAAATGTGTCTGCTTCATCCAGTATTTGAGAATTGGTAACAAAGGAAATTTGCAGTAGCCTCTTGATACACTTTCTCTATAGGGAGGAAAGCATTAAGTACATGTTCAACAGGATGTGCCTTTCGAGTAACTAGGTTTATTTTTAACTCCATAGTTACAGTAGCTGTTTGGCCTTATTTTCTCTGCTGTACATCTGGATGTCACTTTGGAGTTTAGAATACAAGCCTTGAGGATGATGTTCTTCCTGTAAGAGAAATGTAAACACATGAAGAAGCATTTAGGACTATGCCTTTCAATTTACGGCATAGAGGCACAATTAATGTCAGGTGTACCAGCCAGTTAAGATCTGCCTGAAGCTTTGGGCTTTGTTTTATCAAGATTCTGAGGACTACATAGTCCTGTACCTGGAACAGAGTGTTCCTTGCTCCTTGTATCATTTTGTTTTGGCTTATGTGAAACATGTCATGTGTGACACTCTTGCTTCCCAGTCCACATGAATAGGTTGTTAAACGCTCCTTGAACTGAGAAACATTTAATTACTAGGCTAGGTGCTGAGACATGAGAGCTAGTTGACACCAAAAGCCAGATCACAGAAAAACTGTTCCAAGACAGTACCAATTTAGAGTGCAGAAAGGGGGCATTATAGGAGGATCCTCCTCAAAGTACTGATTATAGCTACTTGTGAAGGAACTCAATAGGTTTATTTCTAATATTATATGACTTGGATCTAGAAACTCTAACTGCAACAACTCCAGCAGTCATCTTAACCATCACCACTTGTTTCTCTTTGTAATCTATTTTTCTTTATTGTCAAAATCATTTCAGGTTTTTTTCCATGTCCTTTTAAGTGCCCCTTCAAAATTTCATCTGTTTTGCACTCAAGTCGAATGGATTTTAATCCTCTCACTGGAAAATTGATTGAAAGTCATAAAAAGAAACATGATTAAGTATTGGGAATTAGGACAGCAGCATGGAGATGCTATGGGGAACAGAGCTGCACAGAAAGAATAAGAGAATTTGAGGAGGAATTTACTGGGGCTGAAACTGGAAGAATTTGGATGAGAAAAGGTCACTAGCACCATATGGGCAGTGTGAAGGAGAGACCTCTAAAGAAGGCAATATTGGGGAAGAGGGAGATATGTTTTAGTGAAAGCAAATAGTTGGAGATATTAAAATGGGGGAGGCGAGGGTGATTACTTTCTTGGGGAGGGAGCAGCAGTATCAGAAGAAGGCAGTAAATGGGAAACAGTGAGGAAGTCATTATGCAGATCAGAGATTGAAGATAGTATTCCTTAGATAGACTGCAGAGAGCAAGAACAGGCTAGCATAAGGCTTTAAAATAGCAGTGGCAATCCTGGGTTGGACTCCGGCACATATAATTTGGTCCTCTGACCCAGCTCCATAATGGTGTCAGATGTGCAAATACTTTGGTGCCATCCAGAGCAGTCACGTTAACACTTAAAATTGCCTTCTACTGAGTCAAACTGTTGGTCCATCGAGATCAGCACTGTCTACTTTTGGCTGTGTCTCTTCACCTAGGTTTAGTGGACTCAGTCTTCTGCTGTATGGTCCTACTTAGAATAAAGTGTAGCCTTAAAATTACTTAGAAGCAAATCCCACTGAGTCCATAGTAGGCATGTTTAGGATTGATACCTTAATTAGGTTAGCAGTTTAGTCTGGGAAACAAAAACAAATAATCTTTAGTTTGAGGATTTTATGGAGCAATCTTTTTTGATGCATACCTTCTAATGACATGTTTGCTCTACACATGAGAATTCCTTGGTACTCGACTTCTACCTAGCTATGATTTAATAGGTTTCCTAGCCAAAGGGGAAGCATTTCTGGAGCATGAATTGACATGTTCCAGTCTTTAGAAATTTGCTAGTTACTGTCATTATGATTGATATTTTTCCATTCCCATTCCACCCTCTATCACAAATGTTTGCATAAATACAGTGGTGGCTGTTCATGCCACAGTACTTGTATGTTTTGATTTATTGGGCAAAAAAACCAATGGAGGCAGGTTATAGCTAGCTTAATGATTAGCTGAACTTTTAAAAGTTTTCTAACAACAGTACATGAATGGACAAAATAAAGGATGAATTCTGATGAGAGTAAACATGCCTGAAATAATTTATATAATCAGCAAAGATATCTTTTCCTAATTCAGCACTGTTGTTCTAGGGAAACTGTATTTTCCTAGCACTCATTGTTCAAAGCACCGTAGTTTGTTGCTAGGGAAAATAAATTTAGTCCCCCCCCCATACATGTTCCATACCTACTAGGAATGAGAAGTCTTCCAATGGCATCTCCATGTTCTGTCCTATAAGTATTCTCTTGTCTAGAGTAGTATAGGACAAGTATCTGGAAGTACTAGTATCTGGAAGACCCAGGTGTGAATCCTCACTTGTGTCATTGAAGCCTGCTGAGTGACCATGGGCCAGTCACAATATCTCTACCTTGAGAAGATAAATGGAGAGGAGAATGATGTAAGCCGCTTTGGATCCCCATTGGGGATAGAAGTGGGGTACAAATGCATCAAACAAACAAATATTATATATTGATATAAAATTTAATTTTGTTTTGTATTTTCTTTTCAGGAAGGAGGCACAACTGGATGAAGAAGGGCAGTTCCTAGTGAGAATCATTTATGATGATTCTAAAACATATGATTTGGTTGCTGCCGCAAGCAAAGTCCTTAGTAAGTAAACCTTTTTTTCAGCAGTAAAAGTCACTTGTTGAGAAACTGAAGATCAGACAGTAAAGGCCATTATTTTTCTTGATTTTACAGTGGTTAGTGGATAAAGATGTAGAAAGACATTTACGTGGCAAAGACAGGTATTTAAGTGCTGATTCTATCATTCTGTGGTAGAATCCTGGAAATATTGATTTTCACTTTTAGAAAGTAAGGCCAGCCAAAGTTATATATGATTCTTACCTGCTGAGATCACTGGGATATAGAACCACATTTTTGAGTGGATTGGCTCAAAGCAATAAAGACAGGTTTTAAAATGTGTGAATAATGCTGGTGCTGTACAAATAGGTCCCTTTTTACATATTAAGCAAAGGAACACTGGAAAAACTTGGAAAGCATGGGATGGGCTTTGGAGGACTTCCCACACTTTAATTGTTTAGCCTCAGTCGCTACTATAGCTCCTTTCTCATTCCTATGAGAGTAGAAAAAGCAAATATGAGGTTTATTATGCAATACAGTCTTAGGCAATTATGCAGTACAATCACACGGCAAGCTTACTACGATTTGTTCCTGCTGTAGATTTGATCGGGGATATTTTTAGCGGGTTTGGATGATCCCACATCCCTTGCCCAACTGCTTGCATCACGCAACAAGGCTCCAGGCACCGTTCAGACAGCTGCGCCACCAAAGTGGTGGCACGGCACAATTTTAAAAAAAATTTTTTTGCACATGCACATGTGCACATATATGCATGTGCAAAACACAGCTCCTGCTTGGATGCAGGTTTTCCCCCCTGAACAGCGAACAAAATGAACTACCGACGTGCAACTGAGTGCTGGTCTGTGTGTGCTTGAGTGTTCATGCATGTAATGTATTCAGCACAGGATTGGTCATGCGCACAACGGTGAAACCCGGGGGGGGGGGGACTACTGCAAGAAGGATGCACAGATGACCTAATCGCATTCATAGCGAGAGATGGCTGTCCAGATAGGAGAAATTGAGGATTCACAGGGCAATTAGTAGGAAAGTACTCAATTTTCCCAGTGTTGGAAAATGTGCTAGAAAACTGGGAGGATTGGAGGGGTGAGTCTGCTTCAATACGGGAGACAGAATCAACTGTCTGATCAGCCCTTTAAAATGCTGTAGGGAACAGTTGTGTTCACATGTGTGAACACGACCTTATACATATTTACTTCGAAGCAAGTTCCACTTTGTTTAATGTGGTTTATTCCCAAGCATGTGTGCATAGGATTGCAGGCTTTATTATAAAGCTGGTTATAAAATTTGGTTATTCTGAGAACTGAGTGATGGGGGGACAGTTGGTACAGAGTTTGTTGTTCTTTGTTTTCAAAGTGCTAAATGCCTAAAAGCTTCTGTTGAGATAAACAATTACATAGTTGTGAGCAACGACATATAACAACTCTGATCACACAAAAATGTTGTAAAACATATATCAGTTACATAAAACATAAATCTCAAGCTTGGAAAGCTTAATGGTTGGGCAGTAGGCTCTGCTGCTGTTCCGCTATTGAGGACTTGTTTGGTTATTCTGTATTCACACTTCAATGAGGTAACTGAGCAAAATTATGGGGTATATAAAGCCTGAAGCCTTGTTTGTAATTTCCCCCCATTTCCAGTGTTGACTTGGCCTGATTAGAAAGTATCACGTGTCAGTTGCTGGCTCAACAGAGGAGAAAGGCCTGAATGTTTTTGGATAACTTAACTTCTTGTGTATTTTTGCATTTTATGTAGACCTTAATGCTGGAGAAATCCTTCAGATGTTTGGAAAGATGTTTTTTGTATTTTGTCAAGAATCTGGTTATGACACAATCTTGCGTGTCTTAGGCTCAAATGTCAGAGAATTTTTACAGGTGAGTAGTCTGCAGCAAATCTTGATAAGCAGGTAATAGGTGAAATGAAAGACCACGGCTTGATATCCAGGAGCCCCACTCAACAAAAAGAAGCTTCATGTGTCCATGCTTGTTCCAGTGGGACTTGCATTCACTTAAATATGCATGGGGTTGTATCTTAAGAAACCTCTGGGTCTTGCACCCAGAAGCAAAAACATCTGGCTCATGGATGTCCTGTTAGAGACATGTGTTAAACCTATGGCTTTCACAAGAGTAAGGACACATAACTGATGTATTTCACCTTAGATTCCATTTAAACAGGTTTCATTGTCCATTATATTAACAAATCTGTGGTTGGTTGATAAGGTATTGGGATCAATCCCCAGCATCTCCAATTAAAAGGATCAGGTGGTAGGTGATGTCAAAGACTTCTCCTTGAGACCTTGGAGAGCTGCTGCCAGTCTGAGTAGACAGTGGACCAAGGGTCTGATTCACTATAAGGCAGCTTCATAAGAATGTAACTCAGTAGTAAAATATGTACATGCAGAAGTTTCAAATTTTGATCCCAGACATCTGAAATATGACACATATGGGACCTGGAGAGCAGCTGCCAATCAAAGAAGACAGTACTGGCCTAGGCAGTCTGACTTACTCTGAAGCCAGCTTCTTGTGTAATTGTCTTTATTGGCCCCGGTCACACGGCAAAATTGCCGCGGGAGAGGCACGGAAGGTGGGTGGATTATCCGGGCGCAATCACACCCCAACATCTGGGAAGTGGAGCGCACCCGTGGCATTCCACCGACAATGCGCATTTAAAAACAAGTACCTCCAAGGTACTAGTAAACGTTTGCCACGGGCTGCCTCCAGACGCCCGTGGTGTGATTGCGGTGGCGCAATCCCCTCCGGTTCCTTGTTTACCCGCTGGCGCCGAGGGAAGGACCCGTGCTGTGCCGTTGGCGCATCTGATCGCATAATTGCGGATCAAACTGCGCCGGGGCAATTAGCCACGCCTCCCCCCGCGATATCTGGCCCATGTGCCCGGGGCCATTGTTACTCAACAAAAGACTTTAAATCAAACTGGTGCTCTAATTATCCCTAAATTTATTGTTTTATACCTTATAGTAAAGGTAAAGGTTCCCTTGCTCAAAAGCCAGTCGAATCCGACTCTAGGGTTGCGGTGCTCATCTCCGTTTCAAAGCCGAAGAGCCAGCGCTGTCCGAAGACGTTTCCGTGGTCATGTGGCCGGCATGACTAAACACCAAGGGGCACGGAACGCTGTTACCTTCCCACTGAAGTGGTACCTATTTATCTACTTGCAATTTCTTGCTTTCGAACTGCTAGGTTGGCAGGAGTTTATACCTTATACATGTTACCAATTTATTTATTTATGATGTAAAATTGTTCAAGGACTCTGAGGTGGCTGCAGTCCTTAGGCTGTGTGAAAATATAAAAGGAGATTTAAAAGTTCCAATTCATGCAATCAGATTAATATCTACAGTTGAGCTGAATATACATTTTAAAATAGGAGGATATGCAGGCCTTTGCTTTTTAAGTTTTGAAACATGTTGGAAAGAGGTTTATTTAAAGGATATATGTACAAGGAACCTCTCTTGAAAGCACAACAAAAAGAATCAAGTATAATATGTAGTCGAATAAAGTATAATTAATCTTTTTAAAAGATGTAGTTCTTCCTTTCTACATAATGTGGAGCTATAAAAGTATTGTGAGTGTCACTACAAAGGAGCATGTGAAAGAAAGGCAGCTTTGAGCTAAATGCAATTGGAGAAATCCCAAGGGTGTTTTTATGTGAAAACCACCAAAAGAAAATCAATCAAACACAAAGTGGTGGTTAATCTAAGATACTTTAGGGAGTAGTTTATTTCTTTACTCATATTATAAAAATAGCACAGTATACATTCTTTTGCATTTCGTAGTGCTTAAAATAGTTTCATATGGAACAGGGCCATATACATGCCAAGCAGCATAGCCTTAAGTGTCAAAGCGACACTCAGCTTAAACTCGGCTAGTAAGGAAATAAATTGGAACATTTTAAAGAGGAGTTCACATCTTCAGAATATCTCTCCCTCCAGGTTTGATAGCAACTCTGTTGTTCTGTAAAGGCATCAGAAAAACTGTTTTGCCTGCCTGGATGCATACTGCCACTGTTTTTAGTAAGGATACACAGGAGAGATTTTGTTTTTGTTCTTTGGTGTGGGAAGAAACATATTTATCCATCTTTTCCTTTAATAGCTGCTAATAAAACAAGCATTTGTATTACTTCCATTGGCTTTTTAAGCCACTATAAACCCTGTTCGTGCAATGAATATTGTCCAGCTTCCCAAGAAGAATATACCTTCGTTGTTATTCTCCAACCAGATTCTCCATTCTGGTAGATGCTAAGCCCTCCTGTGGGAGATAGTTCTAGAAAGCAAGACAATGGTTTAAATTCAGGATTGGCTAATAATCTGGCTATATGAGGCCATATCTGAAATTGCCATAAGAACATAAGAGAAGCCAGTGTTGGATCAGGTCAATGGTCCATCCAGTCTTACACTCTGTTGCACGGTGGCCAAAAATAGGTGCGATCAGGAGGTCCACCAGTGGGACCAGTACACTAGAAGCCCTCCCACTGTTGACCCCCCCCCCAAGCACCAAGAATCACTTGCCTTAGACTGAGGGTCCCTATCTATACCTTGTGACTAATAGCCACTGATGGACCTCTGCTCCATATGTTTATCCAATTCCCTCTTGAAGCCATCCATGCTTGTAGCCGCCACCATCTCCTGTGGCAGTGAATTCCATGTGTGCCCTGAAGGACTTAACCCCAAACCAGTGGCAGGTGATGAAGTGAGATGAGGTAAAGGGAAGTAAATTGTTATTTGGATCCTTTCCTGTCTGGTTTCAGGCCTGGTTATGGGACTGAAACAGCCTTGGTCTCCGTCATGGATGATCTGTGCCAGGAGACAGGAGATAGACAGAGGAAATGTGACTCTATTGATTCTCCTGAACTTCTGAGCAGCATTCAGTATCATCGATCATGGTGACCTCCTGGATTGCCTTTCTGGTTTGGGACTTGGAGGTATCATTTTGTGATGGTTCCTATCCTATGGTAGGTTTCAGAAGGTGGTGCTGGGGTCCTGCTGCTCAGCCCCTTGGCCTGTGGAGACCTGCAAGCCTCCATCTTGTCCCCTATGCTTTTCATTATCTATATGTGGTCATATGAAGATCTGGGTTGGGTTGTCACCAATATGTGGATGACATTCAGCTCTCTCTCGCTCCTCTGGCCAATCCTAGGTACGCTGCAGAAACCCTGAACTACTGTGTGGAGGCACTTTTGGAGTGAATTTGGGGTAACAAACTGAAATGAAGGCTGAGAAGGAGGGTATGGAAGGAGCAGAGGTTGAGGCAAAGGGATGGATTGAGGAGGTAAAGAGGAGAGAGAGAAAGCAAGTTTCCAGAGACAACAACAAATACAGAAGAAAGATGGAAAAGTATAAGAGGACAAAACATAGGAGAAGGAACTCAACTTGAGACCAAAGGGTTTGGACTAGAGGAGGCTGTGAAAGGGTATCCTTGGGAAGCAACACCTGGCTGTATTTACCTAGTGAAGTGAAGGTCCTGTTAAGTAACATGCCCCGTTCACATGAAGGATTTGCCATGGGAGAGCGACGAGTGCATGGCGGATTATCCGGGTGCGATCACACTGCAACATCTGGGAAGTGGAGCACACCTGTGGCAAACCCATGGCATACCGCCGAAAATGCGGGATTAAAAACTACCTGCTCAGAGGTACTAGCAATCAGTTTGCTATGAGCTGCCTCTGGAGTCCCTCGGTGTGATCGCGCCAGCCACAGCTTTTCCCTCCGGCCCCTCGTTGATGCGCAGGCGCGGAGGGAAGGAACTGTAGCGTGCCGCCGATGTGTGGGATCGCGTTATGGCGGCTCTAATTGCGGCAGTGCAAAAAGCCCCACCTCCCCCCGCGTTATCCGTGTCAGTATACTGTAAGGTATGGGACAAGATGACAGTCTATGAAACAATGTGGTAAAGATCATGCTGATCTGGGTGACAGCTAAATGTATCATATGACCCTGTCACCAGGTAGAGATTGCATCTCTCTTGCATCAGCCAGCATGATGCAACCATGAGTCAGCACTGGTCACTGATTGGTGCTAACACTGTATATAAGTCTGTATAGTACTTTAGAAGATGTTCACTCTGTGGATGCCTTGCTGCAGAGCACTCTGCCGGATTGGATGGTGATATTGGAGTTGGAGAGTGCTAAATGAACTGTGTATATTCTGTGTAAATAAATCCACTATAGATAGTCTGCACCAGCAACCTAGTACTTGTCGTTACTGGACGCTTCCCCACGCCAACAATCCGGCCCATGTGACCGGGGCCACAGGTGTCCATCTGTATATCTTGTGCATCCCAGAACCCTCCCAGTATGTTTTAAATCTGATATTTGCCTTGGTAGCCCTAATGAGGGCAGAAAGGTGGGGTATAAATTTTGTAAATATATAAATAAATTAGAAAAAGCTATCTGAAGGGAAGGGACTGTTTATCTGTCATGTACCTGCCTCTGCTGTTATCACCCCTGCAACATCTAATGTTAAGGTAGATGTTGGTAACCCTCAGTGGTAGTGATCTCTTTCGACTGTCCATCCTACCACAGAAATAGCCAATGACATTCATATGTTCTGAATCATACCCAACACATTTTGCCTTGTAGCCACATTCACATCCCTGTTGCTATCTCAGCCATTTTGTGGCTCCATTCTCTGTTCTCCTTGCTTGTTACAAGTTCTTTTTTTAATAATATTTATATCCTCTCTTTCCCCATTATGGAAATTTAGGCAGCATAAAAAGTATCCTAGGAGATTTCTCATCCAGGCCAGACCCAGACCTGGGTAAGATTGCTGTATCATGTGTCTTCCAGACATACCCTGGGTTGTGCAAGGGATTAGCCTGTTGGCTTTTGATAATTGTCAGCTCATCAAAATATAAATATCAAGCAATAAATAGGTAAATGTCAATCAAGCAAAGGATGGCACTTATAGGCTGACTACACACTAAGGAATTAATTTACAAGGCACTTATTTCCTTTTGAGACCACCCAAGAGAAGAGGCAGCTGTTGAAGCTTTTCATCACTAACAGGAGACAAAGTTCAAGCTGTTTCCAAAACTTTTAAGGATCTGCAGATACGAAGTGAAGGGGCATGATACAGCTTGCACATTCCACACATCTTCATTCCTTGGTATGCTTTTAAAGTGATACCCAAACAATGACTGAAAAAATAACAGTGTGGCATTAAAAGAATGCAGAAAAAATAGAGGGGAAAAATAGTAATGATTGATGGAAAGTTGAATTTGGAATGATTTTCTCCATAGGCTGTTACATTGCCATTATCCCCCATAAGTAAATGTAGAGTAGATATGTGTGAAAAATGAATTGGTGGTCAATTCCCCCCCCCATTTTCTAAATCCAGATTTAATAATGTTAGCAATTTTAGGCAGCTGGGCTGCATCTATCTATACCAAAGGGAACTAAACCTATGTTAGTAGGTGCCTTACAGGTCTTCAGACATAGGTTGTGTAATGGAAATACTGGAAAAGTAGATTCTAACATTTCGCTTAACAATCTCCTTGCAGAACCTTGATGCTCTGCATGACCATCTTGCTACGATATACCCAGGAATGCGTGCCCCTTCCTTTAGGTGCACGGATGCTGAAAAAGGGAAGGGTCTCATTCTACATTACTATTCAGAAAGAGAAGGCCTCCAAGACATTGTCATTGGAATCATCAAAACAGTTGCTCAGCAAATCCATGGCACAGAAATCGACATGAAGGTAAGTTTTAGTGTATCCTCCCCTAAGTTTGACATGTATCAAATGCATGACAATAATATTTTAATATCATTTTCCCCACAAGAGACTTGGAGGGGAGGTAGTCTTAAAATGACATCCTTGAGGTGTTGTTTTTCCCTTAGTCACAAAAGAGCACTACAATGTCTCTCCATCATCACTGCTCTTTTACTATAGGAAAAATCTTAGAGTTTGCCAGTGTTACATCAGTCTAATTCTTTATTCAAGAGGACCACCAGCTGTATTATGTTGTTGTGATTGCAGCTTATAATGTGTTCTTGTTTGCTCCTGTCCCCCGAATATCCATACCATGACAGCCTGGCAGCTTATCAGCAATGATCCCACTGGGCCCCATTTTGAAACAGCAGAATTCCTTAGTTCTAAAAGTATTTCAGAATGGCTTTAGGTTAATTTAGATTACAGTCTGGATTTTAAAAATTCAATTAGGATCTTAGCACAAAATTAATATGATAATTTACTGCAGGTATAAGAAATAGTACAGTAGTTCCTTGCTTTCCTGTATCATATGGAAATATTGTATTTGACATGTATTGTTGTGATTGAAGGATGCTATCTACTCTCCCCTCTCTGCCCTAGAAGTGATGATTAGGCTAATACAAATTGTGCATTAGGCTAATACAAATTGCCCCAAAGTTAACAAAGACTGCTTGTGGAAGCTTACCTAAACAGTCAGGAAAGCTCTCAATTTCCACTTTAGCTTAAGTTTTACAATACCGAAGCAGGTCCAGTTCAAGCTTGCGTTCATACAGGGTTAAGTGGAGCTTATTATTCAAATCTTAAAGGGAAAAATATCCAAATAAAAAATACGTTTATTGTTGTTTGAAAGAATCCAACACAGTCTCTGAATCACTTTACAGTGCACATCACAAGAAGCAGCCTTACCTAAGAAACTCCATGAAAGGGTTTTTTAAAATTATTTTTTAATTTATTTAATTAATCTATTTTTTTATTTGTATCCCGCCTTTCCAAAGGCTCAGGGCAGCTCACATGCAGCAAAGCCGAAATATAAAATACAATAAAACATGTAACAGAATAACAACATTTAAACCACAATAAAATCTATGCTACATCACGGTGCTGTAATCCTCCTATGTCAATTCTTCCAAGATGGGAACAACCACCCCAATTTTGGCGGCCAGCTGTCTCGATAGCGCGGTCTCCCGCGACACTGTCTGTAAACTCCTGCCAGGCAATGCTTACCTCCCTTAAATGGGGGCAGCCAATGAAACACTACCGCGGTGGTGGGGTAGTGGCGGTGGCAGCTCCTACTCATAAGCCTGGCGGAAGAGCTCCGTCTTGCAGAACCTGCAGAATGGCACAAGGTCCCGCAGGGCCTGGATCTTCTCCGGGAGCTCGTTTCACCAGGTAGGAGCCGCCACTAAAAATGCCCTGGCCTTTTCAATTAACTAAATCTTTTTGAGAACAAAAGCTCTTATATATCGTCTGATTTTAATCTAAAACTAAATAAATTGATAGCTTAATATAGTATTACTGCACACCTACATCTTCTGCACACCAATAGTAGCATGCTGAAAAGAAGAGAATAACTGCCATTCACCTGTTTTTCCTATCATTTACAGAGTACTTTGCAGAATTGTTTTTTGCAAATATGCAACACATCTTAACATATTAAATTCTCTGTATTGAGTGATATTTGGTACATTAATATTGCGATTTGCTTTTTTAAACCTGATTAATTGCTTATTTTTGATTGTTGTGATTAACAGGGCAGCTGACAAATCAATTAATTTCATTAACTAATTTCATTAATCAATTGCTTCTGATTGTTATGATTACCTTGAAAATTGATAATCAATTTTATCAATTTTGAGTATAATTGCTACGTGCAGTATAATTGAGTATAATTGCTACGACCTTCTGCATGCCAAGCAGATGCTCTGCCACTGAACCATGGGCCCATGGAGGATAGATCCATCAGTGGCTACTAGCCATGGTGACTAAAAGGAACCTCATAAGAACATAAGAGAAGCCAATGTTGGATCAGGCCAATGACCCATCTAGTCCAACAGTTTGTCATACAGTGGCCAAAAATACCAGGTGCCATCAGGAGGTCTAGCAGTGGGGCCAGGACACTAGAAGCCCTCCCACTGTTGGCCCCCCAAGAATACAGTGCATCACCTGCCCCAGCCTGTGAGTTCCTATCTATACCTTGTGGCTAATAGCCACTGATGGACCTCTGCTCCATATGTTTATCCAGTTCCCTCTTGAAGCTGTCCATGATTGTAGCTGCCGCCACCTCCTGTGGCAGTGAATTCCATGTGTTAATAACTCTTTGGGTGAAGAAGTACTTCCTTTTATCTGTTCTAACCTGACTGCTCAGCAATTTCATGGAGTGCCCACGAGTTCTTGTATTGTGAGAAAGGGAGAAATATGGGGAACCTCCATATTCAGAGGCAGAACTTCTACATCCCAATGGTAGGAGGCAGCATCAGGGGACAGCTTTGGCCTCTGTGCCCTGTGTTTTGGCCCTCAAGGGTAACTGGTTGATTTCTGTATGAAACTGGTTGCTGGAGTAAATGGACTGTTAGTTTGATCCAACAAGGCTGGTAATATGTTCTTATGAATAAAACATAATGTGTCCAGTTATCTCAATTCAGCTTTTCCATAAACATTAGAGTTACCAAAATGGGCATAGTAGTTTTACTGTGCTGCATAGTATTGTTTCATCAAAGGACATCCATTGTTATGAAGCTGTTCATCAGTGTTCTGCCTTAAAAAAAAAGCTGCCATTGATCTAAACTACTGTAATTGCACACTGAGCTAAATTTAGCTCAAGAGCTTTGTTCCATTTGTACCAGCCAGAGGCATAAAGTCCTTTGCAAATCTAATTGGTATTCCTTTACTCTTAGCTGATAAAACCCCTGTGCCTGCCTTAACTAGGACCCCTATTTCATGTATGATGATTTTTTTTCCAGAGCTGGCACACACATTCACTGTGCTACAGAATCCTGTGGAATGAAAGACCTTTACTTTCTTCTTGTGTCTGCTGTTCATTGAAAGCAAATGATTACATGCTACCCTTGCAAAAGATGGAATCCAGGACATATAGATCTCATAGCTTGAATTTGGAACAGGCAAACTTTTCTATGACCAAAAAAATATGGCAGGAAAGAATGTTAAAAGGACTCCTGCTTATAAAAAAATTCTAAATTGGATTTCTTGCTATGTAGTATGAAGCCATTTTCAAAATTGGCTTTCCTTTCTTATTGATGTGACCTTTCGTGTAGCCAAGCAGAAGCAAATGCAGAAGACCCATCTTGCTTCAAATCACAGGAGGAAGAATCAGTTAGGAGTCTGTTTCAAACCTAAAGGGTGATTTGTCTTGATTTTAACTGCTGTTACCATGGTGAAGGAGTTCGTAGACATGATAGGTTGATGTCACTTGCACACTAGGCCTACAGTGGGGGTGGGGGTAATAATCCAACTATATTCCCAGCTGTGTTGCTTCTGCTGATGCGCTTTCATTTACTAGATTAATCCTGTGGTCCTGCTACATGCTGGCAGCCATGAAGCTGGCATAGCTTAGAGCCTAGACTCTCCCATAGGAAGAAAGCAAAAAAGCAATAGACTTTCTAAGGAACAGAGAACAGAGCAACACCACTGGAGTCTATGGCATTATTGCAGTCATCCATCAATCATGCAGTGGCAGGCCAACAAGGCATCAAAGGAGCCAGTCTATACTCTTCAGTTGCAGCTTTATCTCTGTAATGTCACCATGCCCCCAGCACACAAACAAAAGGTAGCAAGGGCGACACAAACCAGGTGCCTTGAATTGTGTGGAGCACTATGGTAATCCCAGAAACGGCCTTGTGGGCAGGAGTCCAAGACCACCTTACGCCCCACAAGAGTGCTGATGGCAAGTCCTTTGGCAGAAGGGCACAGGGGGAAGAACAGACACACAGTCCAGGCGTCACTACTTTCTTACAGCATTTTACATGTCCTTAGTGTCTTTGTACTGATTCAGAGTAGATTGAAGACACAGCTCCCACAGCTCTGCTGGAATATTCCAGGGAAAACACATGGCCTCCCCAAGCAGGTGTTTAAGTCACTTACCTTATGGAGTGGTTTGTCCTTGCATACCCAGTTACAGTAGAGGTTTCTTTCTACTGGTTGTACCCTGAGGTGGCATATCTGTAACATTCTGAGCAGACTATATGGTCTTCCTGTGTTTATTGCCAGCCTTAATTATTCAAGCAAAATGCCCTTTTCCAGAATTCCCATCACTCAACCCAAGTTCCCATTTGGGTTCTGTAAGAATGCACACCATGAGGCCAGAATTATACAGCCAAATACTGCATGCCCTGCTATCTGAGATAGGGGTGGCCTGCTGGGGCTTATATACTGCTGATTGTGTGCTATAATTGGCTGCAGAATTAAGTGGACTCCTGTGCTCAGTTGGCTCCATGAAGGTGAACTATGAGATGGGAGCAGTTGAGTTCAATGGGAATACTTTAATTTACATTACCTCTTTTGCTAGCATGAGATTATGCAGCCATCAGCAGTGGGACTGAAATTTGAAGGAGCTTAGTTTACTTACTAGGTTCCTTGGTGCCATCCAATCCTGGCAACGAGACTTATGCTGGTGGTTCCCCCTTTATGCCAGCAATAGGGTATTTTACATCAATGTAGATAATATTTTGTGTACTGATTCAGAGTAGATTGAACAGAACAGAAATGTTTTCATCTGAGCTTTGCCTCAAGGGCCTCTTTATTTCTCAGTCTTCTGACATGTTCTTTTGCTCTTCTGGTTTATTACACTCACCTTCCTGTGCAGGGTCTGATATTCACATTAATAACAAGTCAGGCCTGTCAAGTATGGTTGCAACTATAATTTTTGCTGTCATTGACCTGTATTCATTTTGTAGAGGTTAGGGGCTAGCATAGTACTGAATAGAATAGCACCCTGGTTTTAACAAGTGGTGAAGACTTTGCTTTAATGTAAGTCATGTTTTGGACTCATCGTGAGTTGATTGGCAGAGGGATGCTGTGTTTTTTATGCAGAGGTTTCTAGAGGGGTCAAGTTTTTCTTTTTTACAGCTTCAGAATTATTCTTTAGTAGGTACATGGGTGAAGGACATAGAATGGAAAGAGATTCTAATTCACTCACAACATGTGTTACCTGTTCAAGATAAAAATTTTCAATCATTTTGAACTTACAACTCTTGATTTTTATTTTTTTTTAAATCCCCGGAGGGATATTTTTTATTTTGCAAAACTACAAAAACTACAAAGAAATATTAGGAAAGGGACTACAACTAAGGAGAAAGGAAAGCAAACCACACTAAACTAAAACCCAAGAGGAGGAGATCTTTTCACTGTTAGTAAAAATGTTAGTACTGTTAGTGTTAATATCACAATATACTTGTAGAGTTCTTGCTTATAACAGTTCACTGTTTATATGTTATTTTATTAGTTGTTATGAGAGAAATCTCTGATCATCTTCCATTCTTTGCTTCAAAAGGCCATTTTCCAAGTCCTTCTGCCTTTACTTCGGCTTTCTGTCTCTGAAATTGTATACCACTCTGGCAGGTCCTGCACCCTTTTCTGCTGCAGAGTCCTCTTCCATTCCCGAGGTAGCAGAGTCACTAGACTTTGTTTCTTCCTCTTTGGACTCTTCCTCTGTCCCCAGCTGGCATCTCAAAAATTCTTTAGCTTTAAAAGTGGAGTCTATTTTCTCTCTTCTATCGTTGATCTTAAAGATGTTACCTTCCGGAACCGCCCATCTGTACGATATCCCATTTGTTTGAAGAAAAGAAATTAGGTCCTTGTAATTTTTCCTCTTTTGTCTAATTTCAAATGGAATGTCCTTTAAAGCTTTGATAGTTACATTTCCCATTTTCAGTGGAGTTGCTGAAATTGCTTTTAAAATGGTGTCCCTAGTTTGTCTTCTTGCACACTTGACCACTATTTCTCCAGGTAGGCTATTTTTTAATGTAATTGGAGTATGCCCTATAGGCTACCTCCCTTTCGTTTACAAGTTCATCTGCTGTTAAGCCTACTACTGGGGCGATAATTTCGCTAAGCAACTTCTTCGAGTCTTCTCAATCTATTTCAGGAACCCCCTGAAACCTGAGAACCATGTTAGCTTTTTCCATCTGTAGCTGTAAGACTCGGTTCTCTTGGCAATTCTGTTTCATTTCCACCTCTCCCATCCTTTTCTTCAACTTCTTGCTTGTGGTGTCTATCTCTTTAATTATCTCGTTTGCCTGCTCCACCTTTTTCTCTGTTTCGTTCAGCTGGAGCTGCTGTGCTGCAAAGTTTTTATTCATCACAGTCAATTGCTGGTTAATACCATTGAGTTGTTCCAATACCGGCTTAAGCATATCTGCCAGGAGTTTGAGGACATCTGCTCCCTCTTCCGGTCTCAGACTCTGACTGCCCGGTTTCATTTTAAACTTTCTCTGCTGGGCCGCCATCTTTCCCGTTTTGGTTTACAGTTTCTACCACTCCCACATAACTACCACTCCCACATTCGCCCTCCTCCATTATGAGGAGAGGGTCCGCCATCGTTGTTCCGTCAACCGAACAACTCTTGATTTTCATGGACTATTAAGATGGAGATGCAGTCTTGTCATTGGGAGTTTTCTCTGTCTCAGCATCAAGTAACTTATGAATATCAGAAAGCAGTCTATTTTATAAGGAAACCTTAGCCATTAAAAGGACTTTAGAAACATTTGTGTGCTTTTCTGTATCCTTGCTAGATAAGATCTTTCCAGTGAAGTGTTTATGGTTGTACTAAACATACATTACTTAAGCTGCAAACACACTAAGTAATCCACATTCAATCCACTTTCAGTGCACTTTCCAACTGGATTTTACTGTGTGAAGTTGGAAGGTGCATTGAAAGTGGATTATTTAGTGTGTGTGACTGCAGCCTTAGATTATTCTCTCAATTAAACGGTAGTGAAGCAACGGTAATACTGATTCATTGGTGAATTTTGGAACAGGTTTGTTAATTAGTTTCTAAGGGCCCTAGACTACTGTTTGCAATCACAGCAACAGTACAATTACCATAGCATTAAGAACAATATTGATTGGGATCAAAATAATCTGTTTGCACAAGAGAAGGAACTTCTAGTGCATGGTGGCAGTTACTGTTTTTCTGCCCCTGTTATCTACAGTTCCTTGCAGTCCACAAAACAGCTGTTCCAAAGAGTCAGATCTATGGTGCTGCATAGCCTGTTGTGGCCAGGACAGAAATTAGTGCAAGCCAAAGTATTTCCTCTTGCGCAAGTGGATGATTGGATAAAACAGTATATTGTGGAGGGCTTTTTATTTGCTATACATGCATTTTTCACCATCCCATCTAAACCCATAAATTGCATTTTATTGAGAATATTGGTAGTGTTCCTTTACTGTGAGAATAATTCCCCTTATCTTTTATTATGTACATGATGCAGTGGCACCACTGGTGAGTTATGTGATACCATTTAATCTCGTACCTTGGTTCTGGTGCATAAAACTCCTTGGAAGCTTTGTTGAAAGGCAACCGATTGAAAAAGGGTCAATAGGACTAGTGATGGGCAAAAGAGCCCATGGGGTGCAGTAATTAGAATGTCATATGGGACCAGAGTGACATGGGATTTAAATCCTCACTCAGATATGAAGCTCACTAGGTAACAATACCCATTGACCCTTACTCTTTCAGCCTAACCTACTTTATAGGATGATTATAAAGAGAACGTGGAGTAGAGGGGAACCAGAACTTTACTTTGGAGAAAGCAAGGAACAGCAGACAGAAAATGACATCATAGCATTGGGGTTTCTGGGTGCGGCTAGTACTCCACAGGGACCCAGCAATTCAGATTCAGTTCAGTCTCATCCTGCATTTCAAATCCAGTGCCAGAAAGTCCAAGTAACTGTGATCAGGGGTCGTTTCGTAGAAAAAGAGCTAGGGGAACTCATTAGCATATGCCACACCCCCTGACATCACTGGAAGCGTGTCATAAGGCCACACCCCCTGACATCACCGGAAGTGTGTCATAAGGCCACACACCCCGTCCCCAACGGTCCCGGCTGCCGCCGCTGGCCTTGCAGCTCTACTGCCGAGCCCCATGAGGGGCTCGGCGGTGGACCTGCTAGGCCGACGGGAGTGCAAGGAAGCCCCGCAAAGGCCCTCCCTGGCCCCAGGCAGGCAGGGGTGGGGAGAGGCAGGGAGGAAGCAACTTACCCTCCCTCTTCTCCTGCCTCCTCCTGGCTGAATGAGGGCCAGAAGCAAGGCGGCTGGAAGCAGGGGGCGGGGCTTCATCATGTGCCTCGCCCCCGTACCTCACCCGGGGGAACTGCGATCCCCCGCGAACCCCCCCGAAATGGCCTCTGATAAAAATAAAATAGCTACAGTAATGTAAATGAAGGAGGCTAAAATCATTGACCATCTTTTCTTTATTGTGTGTAGGTTGTTCAACAAAGAAATGAAGAATGTGATCACATTCAGTTTTTAATTGAAGAGAAGGAGTCTAAAGAAGAGGATTTTTATGAAGACCTGGACAGATTTGAAGAGAATGGTACCCAGGAGTCTCGAATCAGTCCATATACTTTCTGCAAGGCTTTCCCTTTTCATATTATATTTGATAGAGATCTTGTTGTCACCCAGTGTGGCAATGCAATTTATAGGGTCCTTCCACAGGTGAGATGCAGTTTTTGTCTTTCATTCTCCTACTCAAGTGTGACTTTTTTACTTTGGGTGTAGTATATGTTCTGCAAAGGTTCATGATAATGATTCTTATATAATTTCACATATATTTGTGGTAATTATATATTAAAAAATCCCTCCTACTAGCCTTTCCCTCCACACACTGAATGAAGATAGAAGAAACTAGGTTTTTCTTTATGACTGCTCTAAAATGCTGTGATTGGGCCTGCAGTATAGCAGGATCTGGAGATCTTCTGTCCTCTTTTCAAGTGCCAAAACAGGACAGGAGTGCCTGATCCTGCCATGGTGTTTTTTGAATGGCCCAAGTTCAGGTGTAAAATGGTGGTAGCCTACAAAGGTTGGATTAGGTCTGGGTTGAGAAATACTTGGAGATTTGGGGCGTGGAGCCTGGGGAGGGTGGGGTTTGGGGAGGGGAGGGTCTTCAGTTGCGTATAATGTCATGGAGTTCACACTTCAAAGCAGTGGGGTTCTCCAGGGGAACTGATCAGGGTCATCTGAAGATTAATTGTAATAGCGGGAGATTTCAAGGTGCCCCTGGAGGTTGACAAACCCAGGTCAGACCGGTGGATGCCATATCATATAGTGTCACAGGCTGGAGTGCAGGCAGGGCGAGAGAGGGATAGTCCGCGTCCAGTCCAAGGTCGAAAGCCAAGAGAGCAGGAAACCAAAACACCAAGTCCAAAGCTCAAACCATAAGCATAGTCATTAAGCCAGAGTCCAGGGGGTCAGGAGCCAAAACACCAGAGTCCAGGGCACAAACCAAGAGTGTTGTCATCAGAACCGGAGTCAAGGAGCTGAGAGTTCAAAGCAGGAAACAGGAACCGGGAACACGGGCGAGGTGGGTGCAGTAGCATCGTCAAGCTGACTAGTTGCTGGAATGAAGAACTGACAGGGAGTGAGGAGCTAAGTATCCCTCCGGGGCTGTTGTCAATTAGTGGCCAGCATGTGTGTCCCAGCTCCAGTTAGAACTCAGGGCTGAGGGACTGCCTACTGTGTAGGTGTGCCTCTCGGTGCCGAGATGCCAAGTCCTGTCGGAGCTGATTTTGCAAACATGCCACCGGGGTGTGTGTGAATCAAGAGGGCTGTCCATCGTGCGTTGTTCCATCCCAGCTGTTGCTAGGGTGGACTCCACGGCTTCATTGGGGTCAGGTGTAGATTCTACCGGAGCTGGGAGCTCATCCTCAGCAGTACTCAGGACTTCTGCTGGGGCCGGGAGCTGATCCTTGGCATCACTCATGACATACAGTTTGGCCCTGATATACAGTTCAATAAGCAGAATCCATGCTGGGTTCACTATGTGAATGATGTTTGTCAAGATGGTACTCTGGAGCAATTACCATTGGGGCAGGAATTTGAAAACTTTGTAGAATCTGCAACTTTTAAATAAGAAAAGTTTTAAAATATAAACATGTGAGTACTAAATTTGAGTTTCGAGTTCCCTTTTAAAAACCTTTTTAAAATATGGTACACAGTTATGAAAAGATGAAATCCAATAACAAAGGAGGAAGAAACTCCTAAATATTGTATTAATTTAGACACATGCAATATGTTAGAAAAGCAGAATATAATCAAACTGTCCATTATTGAGCATAAATAATTTTAGGCCTTTAAAGCAAAATTTCTCTGTTGTTTATGTTTCAGCTCCAACCAGGATACTGCAATCTCTTGTCAGTATTTTCTTTGGTTCGGCCTCACATCGATATAAGTTTCCATGGAATCCTCTCACATATCAATACTGTCTTTGTACTGAGGAGCAAGGTAACCTAAATGCGGTCCACATGCAATTTTTTCAGTTAGTAATCATGCTGTACTTGGATGAACAATAGTTACAAGACACTGAAATTCTTTCTTTAGTACATAGTTGAGGTATTTCTGTTTGGATCCAGGAAGGCACAGATAAAATACACATTTTACTGTTGATAATAGTAAAGTGCATTGTGGTCACAGGAAGACATATCATATTTAAGTTGCAGTTATGACCTTTTTCTTTACAAGGAAGGGCTGCTGGATGTGGAAAAGCTGGAGTGTGAAGATGAATTAACTGGTACCGAAATTAGCTGCTTACGTCTTAAGGGTCAAATGATCTACTTACCTGAGGCAGATAGTATTCTCTTTCTTTGTTCTCCAAGGTAAGCAAATAAATTTGGTGGATGCGACAGTTGCATCGTTACCAAAATGAATATTGTGATCTTGGATTAAAACATTTCCTGAAAGGCATTTTGTTGACATAATAGTTTAAGCCCATTGAGGGAGGAACTTGTAGTTACAAGTAAGATAGTGTTACCATCCTGTGTATCTTTGCTTCATCTTCCTTATATTACAACATAATAGGGGCGTGCAAAAAAAATAGCGGTATTTTTTGGGTTCGGGTATATTGAACCCCCCAAACTCACTATTTTCTGATATTCCCGAATCCCAATACTGGCATGGTATTCGGATTCAGGATTTTTCCCTGGCTCCATTATACCCTATGGGGACCATTATAGTCAATGGTCCCCATAGGATATAATGGGGAATCAATCTTGGGGTCTGGGGGGGGGATCTTTTTTGGTAGAGGCACCACATTTTCAGAATGGCTGCTGGTGCCTCTCCTCAAAAAACTCACCAAGTTTCAAAAAGATTGGACTAATTCAGTGGGCTCCCTTTAAACACCCTTTAACTTCAACTATCAGGTGGTCCCAAAAAATCCTGAATATTTTTGGGATATTTGGGACTCAGCTATTTCAGATAGTTTAAAAAATACTGAGATCTATATCCGGCTGAAAGAATAGCCTGAAAATTCTGATAAGGTATTTTAAAGGTATTTTTTCGCTTGGATAGAGCCAAATGCACATCCCTACAACATAATACTCTAGTCACATGAAGAAGGTGCATGGTGTTTTTCCGTGCACCCCTTCCTTGCTGCAGCAACCTCTGATCCCCAGTATGTGGCACAACATCATTTCAATCCCTCTCATCCCACATTTCTCCTCATTGGCTAGTGATAGCACATTGTATTATAGTACCCTTCATTATTTTGGATGAAGCTGTATGGATTCAACATAGTAATCTCCTATGTCAGTAGAGCAGACAACTGTATACTGTATGAGCTACAAAAACATTGTTTTTTGCCAATTTAAAAATGCTTACAGTTAATCAGTTTTTTTAAATGCATGTTTTAGATAAATCTGAGTACCTGGTTTATTCCACTATTTTCTCATCTTGCCTTTGATCACTTCTCTGTATTGCAGTGTGATGAATTTGGATGACTTAACCAGAAGAGGGCTATACCTGAGTGATATTCCACTGCATGACGCTACTCGTGATTTGGTACTTCTGGGGGAGCAATTCAGAGAGGAATACAAGCTGACCCAAGAGTTAGAAATACTAACGGACAGGCTTCAGCACACATTAAGAGCACTGGAAGATGAGAAAAAAAAGACAGACACGTAAGCCTCCTAATAAGAAATATCACAAAATAGTTCTAATAGGGAAGCAGTTTTAAAGCAATGGAAATGTTTTGCTGTCCTGTACTGGAAAACCTCCAAACATTCTCTGATTTTGAGTGACTTTCTTAAAGTCAGTGAGGAAGGGTCAGGAGGAAGTGCCTTGACTTGTTTTCCTTGTTGAAGCAAACAAAAGTTGCAGGCAACTAACAGTTCCCTCACTCATATAAAGTGGCACCATTTCAGATTTCAGAATTGGAGCCAAAGTGATCATTCAAGGTGGTGGCACCTGGTTTTTGGCCACTGTGTGACACAGAGTGTTGGACTGGATCGGTCATTGGCCTGATCCAACATGTTCTTATGTTCTTATGTATTTTAGGACATTTCACTGTGACTGTTTCTTCGTAATACATACTGACATATATCCTATCACTCAATTCAGCAGCATTTGAAGTATTCTTGTCACCCAAGGATCCTTGCACCTACTTAAGTGAATTTTCCACTAGTTGAAGAACCCTTAGGTTGGAAAAAGGTTTCAGACATTACTGAGCAGAGAGGTGGGATTCAAGCAAATAACTCTGCCAGTGTTATCAGCATACAATCCTGTTCCCCGCCCCCTTTCCTTTTTAAGGGATCTTTGCCTTTGGCAAACAGACCTGGAATAAAGTAGTTCTACAGTGGTTTAGAATGGTTTTCATACTATGGCCCTGGTCACACGTGCCAGAAAATGCAAGGGGGAGGCGTGGCTATTTGCGGTGCCGCAATTAGCCGCACGACAACGCAATCAGATGCGTCGGTGGCAACCCATGGTTCCAGCCCTCGGGTTGTGTGCAGCAACGAAGACGGCCGGAGGGAAAAGCCGCGGCGGCGTGATCACAGCGAGGGAGTCCGGAGGCAGCCTGTGGCAAACCGTTTGCTACTACCTTCGAGGAGGTATTTTTTATCGTGCATTTTCGATGGCATGCCACAGGTTGGCCACGGGTGCGCTCCACTTGCCAGATGTTGTGGTGTGATCGTGCCCGGAAAATCCACCATCCAATCGTGTCTCTCCCGTGGCAAATTCGCCTTGTGAACGGGGACTCTGAGCTTGGCAGACATAAAGGGATAGCCAAAAAGGAATTGTCTGTGGTCTGAAATTTGGAGTATCAAGGGGAGTATGCCAGAATATCTACATTAGGCAGAATCATTTACAGAGTATGAACAATATGGACATTTACCCAGAATTAAGATCAGCAGGGTAATTCATAAGATATTGTAAGAAATTGCAATGAGAGAGATGATGCATTAATTCAGGAAGTCTCTTTTAAATCATGAGTAGGACTGAGTTATGATTATTTTAATTTGAAAATGATGGGAACATAATCAGCATAATACAAATGTTAATTGAATCTTTATTCTATAGTTAAATAAACAAGAATATATTAAAAGTCATTAGTATCTTATGCTATAGCTTGCTTGTTAAAACTGGTTTGGATTTTCCATGGTTATTGGAAGTTTTAGTTTTGCTTCAAATGCTAGTGTTTCAGTTCTGCCATTGACAGATCTTCACTGTCTTTGATGATTAGCCAGAACCTTCATTTTCATGCTGGGAAGCCAATCACTTTAAAACCCACCAACATTAACAAGATCGGACATTATAACCCGTGTGCGGGGAGGGCGGGGTATAAATGAGATTTATAGCCCGCGTGCGGGGAGGGTGGGGTATAAATGAAATAAAATAAATAAATAAGAATTGTATAGGATTTGCCCAAGGAGTTGCAGGGAAGTGTGTGCTGATGTGTGAATAGTTTGTCTCCTATGTCTTTTAGACTGTAGTGGCATTGAGGAGTTCTAAAGAGCTAACTACTCATAGGATAGTGTTCAACTGAACACAGTATACCTTTGTCATACGCCATAGTTTCTAGTGATGATCGTAATTTTCCAGTAAGAACTGATTCTGACTGGTTGCACCTGTTATTGATGTTAGTACATCTTCTTTTCACATTCTCTGGTAAGCTGTTACGGAGTTCATAACTGGAATAGTTACATTTATGAAATATATTGTAAAATAATTCTTTGTTGGAATTTTGGCAATGAGTACTGAGCCTTTGAAGAGAGAGATTGTGAACTTGGCCCCACTGAGATTGTGACATCGAAAGGTCAGGCAGTGAGCAGAACAAGAGGGAAAGATCTGGGTGCCAAAAAAAGGAGAACAGGATTCCCTTGTCCCATGAATTGTTGTGTGACCCCCTCTTGTACAGCATGAAAAGCTAAATCCTCATAGATTACACTTGTGAGAGGAAGGCTGCTGAAAATAGGCAGGAATCACCAAGAAATACTAGCAGTTGCATCAAGTTTCATTGTAGTAGTGGAAATCCCTAATATAGATTGGATCCAGATAGCTTTTTCACTCAGTCTCCCTCAAGTCCTGTTTGAACTACAGGCTCTGTCCCAAATGACTTCTGTCTATGTAGGTACCATGGTCTTCAGGTAATCACAGGGGATCCCCTCCTCCCTTTTTCAGCCACAGAAAAGTTGATTAGATCCAATCCTCTGTGTTCTGTAGGGGTTCTATGTTCTAAACTTTATAGGCAGGCTAGGGACCAATATTTTTAGTAGCATGAGCATCCCCATAGGGACAATGGTTTAATGCCTTGTATGATTTGAACATGATTACGAATTGGCCCATAAAAATGAGGGAACGATAAGTTAATGAAAATAATCCAATTATCTAGAAAAATATATTATCTCATCCAGTCTTTGTGTAAAGTGTTTTGATGCACTCAAGGGATTCTTGAATACTTCATGTACTATTCTTTGAAGAATTTCCCTCCCACTTTTATTATTATCTCTATTTCTGATCTTTCTTTGTCCCCCCCCCCTTCTCTTGTCTAATTAACTTTTATGGCTTAGTCTTGGATGCTAATGTTGATTTGATGGCACATAACTTATCTTCCCCAACTTTACTATGTATTATTTGGCCTTTCAGAGTAGCAAAATTTTATCTGGCTTAATTATCAAAGTTATCAAATACTTTTAGCCATCATTAAAAAACATAGGAAAGCTGCTGGTTCAGAACATCTGTAATAAATCTGAGTGTCCATAATGTTGAATCTAGGCATATCTTATCTTGATCTTTAGAATGCAACACTTTGTCTGTACACTCTGTTGTGGTATACAGCTGGTGGGGGGGGTAATGAATTTTAAAAGCTAGATCTTACTGAAATACTGTGTATTCTAGGCTAAAAAATAGAACTGTCATTCTAGAAGGGTTTTTTTAAAGTATAATTTTTTGCAAAGTGTATGTTCCTCCCAATGTTGCTTCTCTTTAATTGGCATCAGTGAGACACTTGAAATGAGTGGTGTATATTACAGGTAACAGGTGGAGAAGTTCTGCTAGGCCTATGGTTGAGGTAGCAGAGACCTATTTATATTAGCCTCCCCTGTATTTTACTGTTGTCATCTGTACTGTTATCATCAGCATTGTCTTTCACCCACCTGTCCCCCCTCCCTGTATTAAGTTGTCATCCGCCTGCAAGCATACAGGGAACCCATCTGGAAGAAGGTGAAGATGGAGATGGATGGGTTGAATGGTGCCATTAACTGTTATTGTTGATATTAATTGTTCCTTCTGTGACAGGGTTTTATGACTGTTATTTTAAACATTGAATTGTGTTATTTATTGCTATTGTAACCTGCCCTGAGCCTTTGTGGGGGAGGGCAGGCTAGAAGCCTAATAAATAAAAAATAAAAAAGTTCCTTGAATATGCCATTCTCAGTAATGTTAAAAATAGCTGTCTGTCTCCAGCTGTTGGATATCTAATTCAAATCAACCAGGAATGTGTGCTTTAAGAAGTGCCTTCAATGGGAAAGATAAAGGGTGTGACACAGACAAAGTTGTGCTGTTTTGTCCCACCCTCTTTAGGCAGTTTAAACATGTGCAATGCCATCAATGAAATCAAGCACATTTAATCATACTAAATCTTGCCTTAAGAGTTTGATAATGTATGGCCCCGGTCACACAGGAGGTTTTGGCCCGCAAGAGGGATGAATCGGGGACGCAGCAAATGGGTGCGATCACACCGCAACATCTGGGAAGCGGCGTGCACCCGTCCCCAATCCGTCCCTTCAGGCTGAAAACGTGCAGTAAAAAAACCCCAATGAGATAGTAGGACCAACCTGAAATGCTGCAGCAAGCGCGGCCGTGGGGTCGCTGGCGTGCCCGTCTTCAGGAGCATTCGAGGCTCCCGGCCGAACTGCGCATGCGCACACATGCACAGCCGGCTGCCTTGTTTTCCTTTCCGTGGCTTCCTCCCCCGGCATCTGATTATGCCGGGGAGCAACTGCACGGCGGCTCAGGGGATCTGTCTGATCCTGCCACCGCGTGTCTCTTTTGGTGCGGTTCTAAAAAGCCGCACTTCGGCCGCGTCGATTTCCCCCGTGTGACCGGGGCCTATGTACATTTCTTTAAACCATATTTACTCTAGGAAAGTTTCTGATGTGAGCAAGTGCCTGCTATTTAAGGATTATAAAGTCCATCTTTAACATTCTGAATAAGTGACTGTCGTGACCCCATAGTGAGAGCTAGTCTGGTGCAGTGATTAAGAGTGTCATAGTAGTATCTGGAAGACCTACGTTCACAACCCAACTCATGCCATGAGAGCTCACTGGATGACCTTGAGTCAGTCACAATGGAGGAGAGGAGAATAATGTAAGCTACTCTCAGTCCCCATTGGGGAAAAGGCCAGGGTATAAATGAATTAAATGTTGCATATGGTAATTGTACTGACGTAGAAATTCACCTTTCTCTTTTTCTTCACTCCCCCCCCCCCGTTGCTGTTACTTTTTCACAATGTGTAGTTTGCTGTATTCTGTACTTCCTCCATCTGTGGCCAATGAACTGAGACACAAGCGCCCCATACCAGCAAAGCGTTATGATAATGTCACCATACTTTTTAGTGGCATTGTGGGATTCAATGCCTTCTGCAGCAAGCATGCCTCTGGAGAAGGAGCCATGAAAATTGTCAACCTTTTAAATGATATTTACACCAGATTTGACATTCTGACCGATTCACGAAGGAATCCCTTTGTTTATAAGGTAAGTGCAAATTTTCCATTTTTAAATGTCCCCAAAATCCGTTGTTCGGTCAAGTAAACCATATATAGCATTTTCATGTTTGACTGGCAGGCCCATCCATAAGGAATAATGCCATACATAATTAATCTAATGTTGAATTAAATACCACCATCTTTGTGGAACCAGGTAAAGGCAGTAACATCCTAGACAGCATACTCCCATATTTTTCCCCACTTCCAGCCTCATTTTGTGCTGTTTGTGTGACAGTGTGTTGCAACAGCTCTGTGAGCTCTTTTAGCTTGTTCTTTCAGAAGATAAATCAAGAGTCTTTTTACTCCCAAAGAAGATTGCTTAGAGATGTGTTGGCCATATTACGTTCCTTTAATTTTTTCTGCAATAGCCATCCAGCCCTGCACCCTAGGTACCAACTTGACAATAAATGCTTTTGATTATGTCCTGCTTGGGACATAATTTTCTAGTGTTGATAGTTTGCTTTCTGAATCAGAAGTGATAATGCTAATGCGTATCTTTCTTCATACCAGTAGGTCTCTATCACTAACGTAGTGGAATAACAATCACCTTTATATTTTGTTAGGTTGAGACAGTAGGAGACAAGTATATGACAGTAAGTGGCTTACCAGAGCCATGCATTCATCATGCCCGTTCGATCTGCCACTTAGCACTGGATATGATGGAAATTGCTGGACAGGTTCAAGTTGATGGAGAGTCTGTGCAGGTTATTAATTCACAATATTCTGTCTCTTGAGTGGTTTGTATATGTGCATTTTCAGTCCAGGATTTTCCAGATGCATCCTAGGCAGATAGGTAAGTCTAACATTTTTCAGTTGCATAGTACCCTGTGCCACCTTAATTAGGGTGTTAGACTGGGGCCACAGGTTTCAAAGGCCCACCGGCATTGTAGCTCATTGGGTAACCTTAGGCCAATTCACTGTCTCTCAGCCTAATTTACTTCACAGGGTGGTTGTGATGACAAAGGAGGGGAAATCATGTACAAAGCTCTGAATTCCTTTGAAGATGGGTAGGATATAAATGGACAGATAGATAAAGGCATTGGGCCAGATGGTAGTAAGGTGTTAGTGAAGCCAGCCATGGACAGTGCTACAGAATAGAACGGGAGGGGGGGCTGTTGACGTTTATAACATGAGAACTGCTAGATTAGTCATCCTTTCATTACAAGTGGTACTCTTCCTTTCCCTGATGACCAGATTTATGCTGGTGTTGGCCGATTTACTATCCTCACAACTGGTTCTTGGAACTGATAAAAAGATTAAGAAGATATGGAGAGGTGAAAAATGGCAAGATTGTTTTCATGCAAAACCCTGCACTCCCACCGTAGGGATATCATGTCTGTCTTTTTAGGTACCTCTTTGCTCAGCAGGCACTTAGACAGTGGGTAGATGGTTAAATGTACCTCTTCAAAACCTACCTGTTAACTAGATAATTGGTCCAAATGACTATAGAGGCAAACTGGGCTGCTGCAGGGTAGGGTGGGAACAGAGCTCCTGATAAGTTTGGGGGCCCATGGAACCAAGCAAGTAATGCAATCTGCTTTTTATGTGATGTTGGGGTTGGGTCTGTGTGATGGTGGTGGGATGCAGAAGGAATCTATATTTGGGAGCGGGGATGATGATTTTTTTAATGGCTTTGGCAACAAAATGGAGACAGAGCATGGACAAATTTGGGGACATGGAGGAGTGTTCTTAAGCGTGCCAACATTCCTCCCTAGTCTCCCTATTCTCATGAGTCAAAAAGGAGGTGGAGCAACAGTCTAATAGCTTCATGTGTAATGTTTTACAGTGCCTTTCAGTAGAGTATTTTGCTACAGAATGCAGTGAAACCACATCCCACCCTTGCCAAATTAATTAGTTGGATTTTCTGTTGAGTAGCCCCCTCCAAACGGCAGTTCTAGGCAGCTGCCTAAGTGGCTGGTCTGGTCAGATGTTTTAGCATCATCCGAAAGTGCATCTTTTCCACCCCAAATGAGTGTTAGTGGTGGAGTATCCACCATCATAATCTATGCAGTCACCCAATTCAAAGCTGAAGTAGAACATTCTACATTTACTCTAGATCAACACTGTTGTGACTCAGTTTGTTTTAACAAACCTAAGTAGTGATTATGAATACTTGTTAGGAGTTCTGAGAATTGTTTGGGTAGGACATTTGGGATTTAGTAACATGTGTATAACATCTTAAGCTATGAACCTCATATTGTATGCCCTGCTCTTAAACCCACTTGGTATCATTTTCTTTCCATTGTAAAAACAAAAAAAAGATAACAATAGGCATTCATACAGGAGAAGTAGTTACTGGTGTCATTGGCCAAAGGATGCCTCGTTATTGCCTTTTTGGAAACACTGTTAACCTAACAAGTCGAACAGAAACCACTGGAGAAAAGGGGAAGATCAATGTTTCTGAATATACCTACAGGTAAGACAGTAGACTGAGATGTGCTGATTGATACAACATATTTCTGTGCCACAGATTTTAAATTATATGTGAGAGGAAGGGACTCCTTCAGTTGACAGGCAACTCATTTCAGGAGTTTGGCAAACTGATAATCCAGCAACATTACTTTGAGTAATTATCCTTCCAAGAAAAGTCTAACACACCATTAACATTTTGTATCTGATGTGAATGAGAAGAAAGAGGGAAAGCTGGGTGGCTGACTCTTGCCTGCAGCACCCCATTGCCATTTACAGCATTACCCTGCTGTCCAGTCAGCTTGCAACAGGATTTAATCTGTAGCCTTTTGCTCAGTGCCTTGTTGTGCTCCCCCCACACCAATGTTCTTTGAATTGGGAATAGGATCATATCAGCCAGTTAACAAAAATAGGAATACATTTTACTCAGGAATCATACAGACCCAAGGATTTTTGGTTTCATCCTAGCAATTTCCCAGTTTTGTTTTGTTTAATGTTGTTGTGTCCACAACTGGCTGGATTACTTGGACATGGGATAGATGTTATAGTCAGGCTGTCAATGTCAACTGTTGTCTATGTCAAAACTAGGGAATCTGTACTTAATAAAGAGATGGACTTGTTTTAATTCCATCAAATCCCTGAGCCTGTTTCAGTGGGGAGGTGGGGTATAAATTGAATAAATAAATAAATAAAGTAATCCTTCTACCCTTTCCAGGCTCATCTCTGTTGTGGGCATTGAAGATAGTCAGTTTCAGATACTGTGGCAAATTGTGATAGGCTCATTTATTTTGAGGTCTCATTATTCAGCAGTTTCCTCAGGAACAGGGTGCTGCTCTTGAAAGTATACTGACTGTTGCAGAATGGTTCATGATTTAACAATATCTGCCCCTGAATGATTATCTTTAATTGCAGATGTCTTATGACTCCTGAAAATTCAGATCCACAATTCCACCTGGAACACAGAGGGCCTGTTTCAATGAAGGGTAAAAAAGAACCAATGCAAGTTTGGTTTTTGTCCAGAAAGTGCACAGAGACAGAGGTATGACTAATGAAAGGATCTATTTTTAAAAAATGCAAGGCATAAATATGAACAAATAACCCAAACCATCAGAGCTGTTTTACTTGCAAAACGAAATGTTCCCATGAAGAAATGAGCCATTTAAAAAAACCAAAACACTGTTGCATTAATATATTTGCTATCTTGACAGCAGATTAATGTCTGTTATTTGTCCCTGGTGTTCGGGGCATTTGTTAGAAACTGGTTTTTGTGTTTCAAACTGTCCTTGAGAGAGTGCCAAGTGTTTAAATATTTACCACACTTTTCGGCCCTCTTTCTCGATTCGAACTGGTATTTTACATTTGTCTGTCCTTAGCTGTAGCATAGATCAGGTCAGTATTATTGTCATCTGTTCACTGATTACAGCCTTTCAAACCCAGGCCACCATTCAGGGCCTGATTCCCTTAGTACAGTTTCTGTTCAAAAAAAGTTTTCAAAATATTAGCACTTTGATTTAATATTCAGATTCACTGTTTGCTTAGCATTAATACTGAAAACTCTTTAGCCCACATAACTGACATTACCATGCTAAAGCTCATCATGATTGTGGTTTCTTAATTAACAAAATTCATTACAAGGAAATATATTTCTCTTTTGGGTCAGCATACAGATTTAAAGTTATAGTTCTACCAAAGGTGCAAATAATGAATTCACTTGGATATGTGACAGTTTTATGTGGGCAAGGGAGCTCTGCATCAAAAAAAGAAGAAACATGCTTTGCTTATCCTAAGCACATTTCTTCTGAGTTAGATGAGAAGGTAAACCTTGAAAACTTATTTTCAGAGCTAAGTTATACCTTATTGATAAAATGATCGCAAAATAACCTTTGTGGGGAATTAATCAAACGATCATTGCAAACAGGGAAAAATTAGCCAAGCCTAATCATACATCATGTGGTGGCTCAAGTGGTTAAGACGCTGAACTGCAGGCTGTGGAAGGTCAGTAGTTCAGCAGTTCGAGAGACCCAAGTTGCCGCATGATGGAGTGAGTTCCCGTCTCTAGTTCCAGCTCCTGCCAACCTAGCAGTTTGAAAGCAAGAAATTGCAAGTAGATAAATAGGTACCACTTCTGTGGGAAGGTAACAGCGTTCTGTGCGCCTTGGTGTTTAGTCATGCTGGCCACATGACCACGGAAACATCTTCGGACAGCGCTGGCTCTTAGGCTTTGAAACGGAGATGAGCACCGCAACCCTAGAGTCGGACTCGACTGGCTTTCGAGCAAGGGAACCTTTACCTTTACTAATCATTCAATGCACAATGGATGAATTTATTTTGATAAATTTCAGCAGGTAATATCCCCCCTTTGACCACTGAGCCAATAATCAGAACCAGGTCCCATTAAATGATCAGCATATGTTTTGCAATTGCCTGTAACAAATGAGGACAAGTCCATGGTGGGGCAGGTTTCAGATTGGGTATACCCTGTAGGCAGAAACTGGGACCTGTGTATTGATTCTGCACTGATCCTGGTTTGGCCCATGAGGAATCACCAAAGGTATAATCTTTTAAGGAATCCCTCCCACACTGCAGTAGTGTGAGACTATTGAAATTCTGGCACTAGATGAGGAACTTCCTGCTCTCTGATCCTGAATTTCAGGATCTGCAGCCCAGCTGCTCTCTAGCTCACTGCTGAGGTTTGGGACTGGGGGGAGAGGAAGCTGCTCATTTAGCCCCAAACCTGAAGGGTTTAGTGTGGGAAGGGGTACATCTTTATCTCCCCATATCTTATTTTTACCTCTCACCCATGTCAGGATATTTCATACTGTCAGGAGCTCTGCCTCCTTTCCAGTTTAAAAGGAGATGTGATTAAGAAGCTCTCGTCCTCATAAATCCTTCTGCCTGGACTCTCACTTTCATGAAAAGTTTACATTGTCCTGTATTGGGGGCCAACTAGGTTTGGGCAATGAGGTCTTCACAACATGCCTCTTCATGATCTTTCTCCTGACTCCTATATGTTAGACGCTCGTAGAGATGCATTCCTCTCTGAACACTGCCTCCCTGAGCACTGCTCCAATGGTTTGTAATACAGCAGTGTAAGAATATACTTAATTTGTTATCCATGATTTCCACAAACCCAATCCCTCACTTCTCAAAACTTTTCTTGCATGCCTTCAAGGAACTGACGCATGATGCTAAGTAAGCCAAGAGAAGCACAAGAGGACAACAGGGTGGAACACCGTGTCTTGTCACTAATTCACTCTGGTAGTAATTAGATGCTGCTGCTCATGCTACATTCTGTACCTCTGTTCCCAACGCTAACTTTCTTTCTACTGGCTGCTTTTTTGTTGTTGTTATTCAGTCAGCTTTTGATATTGTAATATCTCTGGTCTGGTTATGTTTCTTTTGGTCTTTCTTACCATCTTGTCCAACATGAACTAAGATGTGAATCCAGCTAACCATGTCAATGTAGTGTATACCGCCATGTGCTTCCAATTGCCTTTTCTAGTGTCTGATCATCACAGTCTTTATGGTAGTGTGACTCAAAATGGTTTGTGGACAAAAAGAAATTCTATGTGGAAGAAAAACTCCTAAGCTCAGAGCCTTGATATTTTTATGAGAGTGATTTGGCATTCTGATTTCCACTTACTATACTAATCCATCTGTCTACTATTGTGAAATATTTTAATTCATTCTAGGAGCTAGCTTCAATGCACTGTCAGTTGCTCTTTTCTTATGTGTTGGCTGTCTGCTGTTGCAACATATGCATCTTCCACAGAAAAGAAGGGCAGTTTGTGTAATATTATTTACTACTTGAAAATGTGTGCAAATTTCTACTCTTTCTGATCACGTTCTCTCCCTTTTCTTTTAACAGTTTAATTGTGGTATAGCTGATTCATAATAAACATTGCCAGACAACTTTTTAATATCATGCATGATGATGTGGGGGGGGGAAGAGACTGTGGTGTTTGTGTATGGGAGTAGTTCCAAACAAATCCATTTGCAAATCCAGTTCAAGTGCCAGAATAGGAAAGGACCTTGAGACTGACCAGATTTATCCCCAGATCAGGGTGGCCTATGAAAATCCACAAGTCCTCCATTACTCTAGACATTGGTATAATATACATAGATGATGGGAAAGGCATCATGGCATGGACTGGGCCATTTCCCCTCAACTGTACATACAGAACCATGTGTGGCACCTTGATCAAACCTTTGGATGACTGTGCAGGGGCTGGGGAGGCAGGATTCAATCCTTCTTCCCCACCACATTCATACTTTCCCAGGATTCAAATAGAGCTGCCTGAGCCAGTTGCCGAGGAAAAACTTTAATTTGTTCTAATTTTCAAAAGTATCCTTGTTTTATTGCTTGAAATGGGGGGAGGGGAGATCTGCTAGTATATTAAGATCCTTGATGATTCAGATTCATCCTGCAACCTTCCATGTAGACGTGTGTCAGTACAACTGCCATATAAACAACGTTCATATTTTTATGAACTTCTGGTTATCTGTCTTGAGCTCTAGATTTGTCAAGACTAATGAGATTTTTAAAGGTGAACTGTAGAAATAATGTCTATTATTAGTTTATTGTCATGACTAATCCTTTGTCTTTATAAGATACCACTGCATACATGTATAAATATATACGTACATATAAATGTTATGTATAAATATTGTCATAACTAGTATATATACATATAATCAACACAAAATATATTTATAAATGTTTTATGTTCTTGTGTACAAGGAAAGATTTTAAATTATGGTCTTTTTCCACTGATCTCTGGAAGGTTTGTTTTTTAAAAAATATTCAGTGAAAAATACATGTTAATATTGGAACTGATATAATAAATACACATTATCCCCGGTCTTATGTATAGAGTCTGTCTTATTTATGTACTTTGTAAGCCATGTCTTGATCTCAAATTCAGTGTAAGTATGCAAACCTCCCACTTGCTGGAAAAGAAAGATCTAATTTTTTTTATGGTCTTGCAACAAAGGGACTCTATAGCTCATTAACCCAAGCAACCTCAGAGAACCAGATCCTCATGTATTACATCTGTAACATATGCCATATTCCTTTTGCTTCAGGTTTGTTTTGGATGTTTTATAGAAGTAGTAAGGAAGGCACTTCAAGTGGTGCATGGTTCTTCTGTCATCACTTCTGCAGTGTGTGTGTATGTACACATATGTTGTACTTTTTATTACAAAGGGAACACAATCTTATCCTGCAGTCAGCATATGTAGAAGGTGCTTCTATAATAGCTGAACCAGCACAACACATCCTATAAAATGCTGCTGTCTGAAATTTTGCAGCAGTGCAACAGAGTTGGGTCATGACAGGAACAGACACATTACCAACAAATGATCAAAGCTATAGAAATTTGTGGATAGTGAGGAAAAGGAATGCCAGGGTCAGGATGTGGAAAGGCTCTAGCAGGCATTATCCAAAAGCGTTTCAGCCAATATGGTGCCATCAATCTTAGAGCAGCTTTGTTCCCACAGTCATGGAGTTAGTTGAAAGAGAGATTACTAGAGGCATAATTTTGAACTCTCTGCTTTATAAGAATCAAAACCAGTACATCAATAGAAGTAAAGCAGCTTGGTGCCTAGCAATTTAGCATAACTGGATCATCATGTCACCATCTGAGTGACTGATTTGTTCTAGTCTAGTCACATGCAGCATCTAGCTGATGTTCTTAGCATGGGTTGTATAAACCCTGGAGTGATAGAAGCAGTTACCTAGTGAAGCATAAATATGGTGTTCTAGTATTTTGTTGGGAGATCCTCTTTTTCCAAATTCAACAAACTTTCAGTTATCTACACACTAACATCAAATGCTGTCTGCCTGTCCATCTGTCTAAAAGCGTTATATTCCATTTTAGCCATAGATTTCTGAGGCAGCTTCCAGATAGAATGCATTAAATCACAATGCAGTAAAGCAATATAAAATATATATTGAAAACAATAAAAGCCAGCTCACAGCAATGGAAGAAAATTAACCAAAGACTTGGACCCAAAGAAAAGCCTGAAGATGAAAATGAAGTGCTGGGTGAACAACTGTGGGAAGGTATTCTATAGACTGTGTGCCCAAGGAGCACATACTAGCCACTCACTAACAGTTGTTTACCACACCAAGGGCTTCTTTAGGTGGAGGCCTCACAATTGCCTTCAAGGCCCTGGAACCACCCTTATCTCTCAAGAGAGCATTAACTACCTTCTGGACCCATCCAAGAAGCACCCATGCAGCCAGGTGTTACAAGCCCAAACTAGCAAGGACCAAGTATTTTTATGGTGAGATTCACTTCTCCAGAATACCAATGTCCTCAGACCATGCTACCTAAATCTAGACAAGTAACTGCAACTCGCTTATGTTCTGTTAAAACATTGATGTTTGTTTGCAACTACAGCAAGAGCTACATCCTGATACATAATCAGCAACAACCATGGAATGCCTGGCAAATAAGTCATAGGCTGCAGTCACACACAACAAATGATCCACTTTTAATCCATTTTCGATGCTCTTTCCAACTGGATTTTGGCAGTTCACACAGTAAAATCCAGTTGAAAAGTGCACTGAAAGTGGATTATTTAGTGCATGTGACTGCAGCCTTAGAGGGCTTTAGAATCATCCAGATTTTGATCATCAGGAGCCTGGTGGAGAAGCCCCATAACCATGTAAAACTTTTCATGCATGTTCTTGTGCTGAAACAAACACATACTTCATCAGCATCACTGCCACAGAGCAGTCATGAAAATACTCTTCACAGGCTGTGTGTAAGTGAAATGGCAAGATGCTCAGCAGGGGCTAAGGGATTCACTGAAACTTTGTAGATATGTGGTGGGGTGTGTGTGTGCAGGAAATGGGAAGAACCTGTTGTCCATCTCTGTTACGGCAAGATATACAAGCCTTCAACAGTCATTTGCATTTTGATACCAAGGGACTATATTTAGAAAATGTAGCTTGACACCAAAAACTGCTAATATCATTTCCCCTGCAAGTTTGTTTTGAAAAGGTCATATCCTTCCTTTGCTTGAGACTATTCTGTGAAAAAACACATTAAACCATCTGTTGGAGCTGATTTTGTGAAGGCAGATATAGAGCAATGAAGAAGATTGCTGCACTAATTACTGCCATGACCAGACCCTCTGCCTCTGTTCAATGTCCATTTCTCAAGAGTGTTTTATCTTCTAAGACATCCCATAATTAAAATGCTCCAGGTGTCAGGACAATACCACTAGGCAATTTGAGCCGTCAGTTTTGCTTGTGGCAATGTACCCACTTCCTATATTTAGGGTTGCCAGCTCTAGGTTGGGAAATACCTGGAGATTTTGGGGGTGAAGCCTGAGGAGGGCGGAGTCTGAGGAGGGGAGTGACTTCAATGAGGTGTAATGCCATAGAGCCCACATTTCAAAGGAGACATTTTTTCCAAGTGAACTGATCTCTCTTGCCTGAACATAAGTTGTAATCCCAGGAGATCTCCAGCCACCACCTGGAGGTTAGCAACCCTACTTATATTATTTTTGTGCCTTGCAAACTTCCTATGAAACCTGTCCCTCCCAGTCTTCAGTGGTGAGCCTTTTCCTGGGCAACAGCTGGCCTTTCCCCCATTTGATCCTTAAAGGTCCTGGAAATGGAAAATGGCAAAGTCCTCCAGGTTGCCGGTTGGAAATGCCACATCATACAGAACATAAGAGAAGCCAATTCTGGATCAGACCGATGGTCCATCCAGTCCTACACTGTCACACAGTGGCCAAAAATACCAGGTGCCATCAGGAGGTCCACCAGTGGGGCCAGGACACTAGAAGCCCTCCCACTGTTGACCCCTCCCAAGCACCAAGAATACAGTGCATCACTTACCCCAGACCAAGAGCGCCTATCTATACCTTGTGGCTAATAGCCACTGATGGACCTCTGCTCCATATGTTTATCCAGTTCCCTCTT